CTTATTAGGCAGCACGGATTGTAAGAGTCGGTACTAGCTAGGAGCTATAGTTCTAATAACCTAGTTAATCTATGCGAGGAGATCGGACTTACCCTCCTTTTAGTACTCGTTAATAGCGGCTTCTAGATCGTATTCGTTAAAGAATCGCTTGCCGATAAGACGCTTCAACTCCGTACGTAGGACCCTAGTGCTAACTAAACCTTCGCTCTTCGGGAAAGACTTCTTAATAATCTTGTTAGCCTTCTTCCGGTAATCGCGTATGCTAGCGACACCTATATATATGCCGACGAGCTTTACGTACGTAAGGTACTAGTCGTCTAGGATACGAGAGATGTACTCAAACTTCTATTTATCGGTTATGCGAGTCTTGCGCTTCTTACGCTTCTTCTAACTCGACTAACTAGGTCTACTAGGCGTTTAACCTAGAGTTACCGGAGCCTTGCCTTTAGCTCTACTACCCTTGCCCTTCGCAGTTAGGCGAGCGTCCGTCTCTTCCTCTTTAGACTCGTCTACCGACACTTTATCTTCCTAATTACGGTCTAGCTCGGGATCGTAACCTAGAGCATTGCCCGCCCGCTGTTCGGCCTCCAACTTATTAGCGCTTAGTCTATCTTCCTAATTAGTAATATCTAGGTCGCCTTTATCCTCATTAGTGTCCTTATACACTTCTAGAACTTCTAGCTAATTGCGGCGGATAATAATAGGCTCATTTCGACGAGCTCGTAATAAGCGCGGCTATTAGCGACGCGTATATTCGGCGGCACGCTAACGAGCGCGCTGCTCCTAGCGTAGTCGAGCTCTACGGTCGGCTAGGTCTTAGGCGTATCCTTATAGCAAAGCTTTAAGTATATCGCTCGTATTAAACATATCGCGATTGTTATTATTAGCGGCGGCGGCATTGCTATCGCTATCGCCTAGTAGTAAGTCGGCTATTTCTATATCGCCTATAGCGGAGCGCTATCGAGTTGGATTAGTACGTATATATATGTAATAGTATATATGAAATATAGACTATTAGTTATAGGTCGAGTCGAAGCGGAAGTGGATTATAAGAAGCTAAGAGTGTTTAAGCCTTAGGCGTAGACTAGAAGCGCAGAGACCTACTTTTATTTTATAAAAGTGAAGTGTCTAGAAGCATTACTCATTTCTTCTAGGTATTTACGATTTACGACAAGATAGCACTAGACTAGATAAAGCAATATATCGCATAGCTCTGCGACACCTTTTAACGCAGTTAGCAACGCGTACGATATACGACAAGCCGGATACCTACATTACGCCGCAGCGGAGCAATCTACGCGTTTAATTACAACCGCGATAGTCGACTAAATAGCAATAGATTCTTCAAACCGTACGGCGACTATTACTTAGGCTAATAGCAGTAATCGTAGCGTTGAGAGAATAGATATTAAGAATATAGCTTCAGCTTATAGCTAGCCTAAGTAGCTCTAGCGCATCCAATATTACTTAATACTACAACATCGGAGAGTATCGAGACCTATATAAAAGATACTTAGAAATGGACGCGCTATACGATAATGCATATCTTATATATGTATTATTAAAAGCGACACTCGGCCTTTTTAGCCTGCTTAAACTAGCTTCGGCGTATTCGCAATATTGTAATACTACTACTTTAGACACTTCCACACCTTATATATTATGTACTTAAAATTGCACGCTCTATACGATAATACAAGTTTTATTGTTGTAGCATTAAAAGCGACATGCGACATTTTCGTAGGTTAGTCTCTAGTCGCTAGATTTGGTCGAATTCGGGACAGTAGCTTAATTGCAGGCTTCACAACTTAATAACCTAACGTCGCATATATATGATTTTTATATAGAATGTCTTCCCTTTGCCTACGCTATCGAATGCACTAATAATATTTATGTATTTCGCGTTGTGTAGAATGCTGGAAAAATAATATATACTATATAGTCCCTCTCTACCCTTTGTCCTTAGACCCTCGCAAGCGAGGGCGGCAAGCCGGAAGCCGAGGGTCTGATTAGAGACAGAGCTCTACTTTAACCGTAAAGACCTTAGTAAGGACTATAGCATTATAAGCTATAGCGCTACTAGTATTCGACGATTAATTAACGCTACTAAGACTACTATAATAGCTTATACTATAGTAAAGGGCTTTAACTATTGTCTAGTCCGCCGCTATTGTAAGATATAGGCCTTATTACTAAAGAATAGCAAGCTACAATCTAAGGACTTCCTTATAACTGGAGGCTAGCAAGAATAGATAGGCAAAGGTAATAGTATTATTAAATACTTCCGCTAGATGAAGCCTCTTAGTATTTAGGTCCTTCTTACTAAATACTAGAGCTATAGAGCCGATACACTACTTTCTAAGCTAGGTCCGAAGATTAGCGATAAACTAGTAGTATAGTAACAGCTATCTTTACCGACTGAAGCCTCTTCTAATGCTCCTAACCTGCCTTCTAGTCTACTACCTCGAATAGCTAAAACAAGTAAGAAGAAGGATACTAATAAGCTTACCCTATAAGAGACCGATAACCGCTTGCTTTAGTACGAGGCTATTCGTAAGGCCTATACTTGTATAGACCTATAGTATACCCTTAGACGATAGGCTAACGTTATAGGCTATTACGAGCTAATAGGTTAATACTATAAGCTTACAGCACTAATTCTTAGCTTCTAGAGGGATTAAATAGCAATTAATAAGAAGTGCTTAGTAAAGGCACTAAATAAGAAGGTTATCGAGGAGATAATACGGTGCTATAAGGTAAAGCACCCCGAGAACGAGCAAGGCAAGGCTAGTAAGGGTAAGAATTAATAGTAGCTAGAGCCGTTAGTCTAACAGCAATATTACTATTATTATAGACCGCCTTAACCGCAACCGCCTGTTAATCTATAGCCTTATTAGCCGCCGCCGCCGCTATACTATTATTACTAGCCGCTACAATAAGGCGCTCCGCGGTTAAGTCTACCTATTGCAGACGACGAGACCGAGACAGCCGTACTTATTGTCTACTATCGCTAGCTTCGTACTCGCTTTCTAACTATAACTATCTCTATAAGAGACGCTTAAAGGTAGATAGTTAAGGAAGATTAGTGCCTATAAATAGTTAAGAACCTAGCGAAGTTTAAGGAGTTAAAGGCTAACGACGTGTCTACTAATAGTACTAGGTTTAGGCTCGAGTCTAAGGTAAATAGGTTCTTAAAGGAATATAGGGCGAGTCGTATTCTAGCTAATATATCGAGTCTACCGGAGGGTATAGTCGAAGAAGGGGAAGCTATAGTAAGCTAAGGAGGATAGCTTTCCGATCGCAATATAGCACTACTACTATACAAGATATAGGTACGAAAATAATAGCTAAGTTAGTCTATATATAATCCTTGCATTCTGTCTATTTAGTTTTTCTATATTCAGTTTGTATAGTATATACTATATACGTTTCGACCGCTAGCTTCTCTATATCGTACCGCTAAGACCCTACTTCTAGACCCTAAATTCTATTACTTTTTCGCATTTATGTCTATACTATATTACCTACTTATAGTATTTATATAATATACATTTCCTATTGTATTCTATATATATTAAAGTATTTATTAAAAAATTTGCGTACCGATACGAGCTCTGTATATTATATTCTTTACGCTCGAAATGTATAGACTAGACTTTTCCCCGCTTACTATAGAAAGCGGAGTCTTAGTACCCTTTACGAAATGCAACCTACTACCTTCTAATCGATACTACTTAATTAGTACTATATAGATTAATACGCTTTCTTAATAAGGTTATAGCGCCGACCGAGGCCTTTCGAATCTATATCTAAACGCCTAAATCTAACGGTTAGTTCCTATTCTATCGACTATCTTGCTAGGAAGCTATACCGGCGTAGCGGAACAACTTCCTATAGTCTATACCTTTACCCTAACTATCGATTGCTAGCTATAGATAACGCTCGAATTAAGACTGCTATTCGTCTGTTCGGCTATATTTAGGCATTATATCCTAATGCCTCTTAATCTATCCTTTAAAGAGTCTAAATAATAGCTCTATTAGGTTAAGATATAGTAAATATAGCGGCAAGAAGTTAGTAAGAACGCTATATAAGCGATAGAGATTGCGGACTCGTTCTCGTTAATAAGTCGCATAGTTATCTATTATAATAATAGACCGTAAACCTAGATATAGATTACAAAGCGGTAGTACCTTCTCTTAGATCTGTATAATAAACGAGTCGCTATCGATACTGCCTTGCTTAATAAGTGTTACTCCTAGAAGCTAGCCGTCGACTAAGTATACTAGTAAGATACTATATCGCTATAGACGGTATAGATAGTCCTTTATAATACAAGGAAATCCTTTAGGTACCTATCTACGCCTTCGGATAGTAGAGCGCTTACTATAATAGGTCTTATCTACGAAGACAATCTGCTCGCTTATCTAGTATTCTATATTAACTAGGTACGCTATTTCCGCCTATAGGTCTCGCTAAGAAGCCTGTCGCTAAGTTACCTTATAGGTAAAGTCCTTATTCCTTATATACCTCTAGATAGTAGTAACGCCGATATATACTCTAAATTTAAGTACTATCTAGTCTTAAACCTTATCTATCTAGGTCGTACCCTTAGTAGCTAGAATATCGATTATAAAGTCTCTTATATACGGTAGCACCTTCTTCGGTCGTCCTAGTTTGCCTTAGAAGCTATTAACCGTACTATATCTCTTTAGATTAGTACTATAACGCTTTATAGTAGTAAACGACCCCCTTTCGTTCTTCGAGCGCTACGATAACTATATATCCTTCGCCGATATGCCTTCTATTAACAACTAGCCGATAATTGCCTTATCTTACTCGGTAAGGGGCGCTATAGCGACGGCGAGGTCTATAGCGTAGGGCGGCGGTAGAAAATCGGTAGAGCGACGGCAATAATATAAACAAGTAACAATACCAATTATTGGAACTATAGACTGGATACAGCGACAGCAATAGTTCGGTTTACTACCAAAATTAGTATGGAAGGCAAAACTGAAGTGGTGCGGCTCAAAAAGCCCGGGGTTTTTGAAATTGAGAATAGCCAGACCGCATGTCCGAAGGCTTGCATACACTTCCACAGCCTCACGCCAGCGAAGCTTCCTACGACCCCCCGCCGGTAGGAGCGCGATATTGGGAAACCAGATCAAGAGCAAGATTTCGCGCATGCAAAGTTTCAAGAGAAGAACTATTGTAAATACGAAGATAGCGGTGCTGTGACATGGTAGCCAAGCTTCGAGATGTTTTGAAGCTTTGTGGAGCGATTGGCCGATAGGGCATATGCTGCAACCGCGGCATTCCTGCATACACTATTATACTATTGATCGAAGCCTGAATGGTAGCTGATCCTTCTGTGGTAGAAACACCAGCCTCCTCCCGCTGTCCGCGCACGCAGAGGAAAACACATTCCATCATGTATAGTCGCTAATTCTGAACGGCCATAATGTCAATCACATCAATATCGCAGGTCGTTTGCCCTTCTCTGGCATCACAACTGTGTCCATCGTCCTGTCAGTTGTCTCCGGCAACGAATACTGTGGGACCTGCATTTGTGACCTGGGCGCCGGATTCCAACATCGCTCCTCTGGCAACTGCTTTCATCTACACCGATGAATCTGGCCAGGCAACGTCTTCCTCGCTGTTGTGCGACACAGATCTCTTCAGCAGTGCCTACAGTACCACTGTAGAAGACTGCAGCTATTCTGTCTGCCCGTCTCAGTACCTGGATCCTGACTGTAATCTGTACATCAACTCCTTGGTCGTAGATCGGGCCGACCCGATATCTCCTACAGTACAGTAAGTAGTTAGCTTTTTGCCTGGCACAAGATTCTTCTGACTGCTGCCCAGAATTCAAACTGTATCTGAAAGTTACTGGTTGAACTTGGGCTAAACATGGGGCGGCAGCTATGTTACGACGACTGCGAATAACGGAAGCTGCAATATCGGTTGTGCAGCAGCACTGGCGCTTTTCACTGCTTCAGCCACACCAGTGCTGTATGATGGAGCGCTTTCTAGCTTGAGTGACAACATCTACTTCCTCCCTGATATCACAAGCAATGCTGGGTCCTGGGTGGGCTTCTCACGCCAGACTGTCGCGTTAGACCAGCCTGCTTCTTTCGCCGCAGGCATTACGACAACCATCACGACAGAAAATGGACCTGTCTCAACAAGTTCAGCTAGCTCTGGCCCCACAATTCCCGCCCCGGGCTCCAGTTCAATCAGCACGACCTCAGCATCCAGCTCGGAGAGCACCGCGAGCTATAGTGATCCTGACCAGAGTGTTTCAAATCCTTTCTCGACGACTTCGTCTGACTCCACTACTACAACAGCACAATCAATGACGACTCCGCTCGAGTCCACCACGACGGTATCGGACTTGTCGAGCACCAGCTATAGTCAGCTCACAATCACCAGCTATACCTATGTGGACGGACCCAATGGTCAGACCTCAAGCAGTGCGTTGACGATAACTTCGACTGTCGTCGTTGTTCCGGACACTACAGCACCGTCGATACAAGGAAACTCAGATGCTGGCACGAACTCGTTCTCCTCCTATGGACTCGCATTCGGCGTCGCGATAGTTTTGATTCTGTTAGCATGATTCTCACATCAAGTCTGAGATTGAATGACGGTAATGAGAATGTGAAAAAAAGAAAAAGAAAAGAAACATCATGTGATAATTCGAGGCTTCACTTTATCGTGCACGAGATTCGAACTCGTGTCCTCGCCTATTCCCGCACTTCATGTATGTGCAGCCATGTTTTGCGATGGGAAGGGGAGATGCTAACCACTGCACCAGCACGATCTGTTTGGTGGATGGAGAGTGATCAATTTCAGATCTATCATATACCTGGACCTGGACCCAGCGAAAGTGAAACGTTCAGGGGCAGTGGTGGCGGGAAGGCACATGCGCTGTTGTTTGTAGAGCTGCAGGTAGGTAGCCTCTTTTTCGACCATCACCAACCAGTCAAGACGGGAGATATGTATCTGCTGAAATGCAGTGTACTTCTTCCATGCATAATCCTATCTGTTCTCCAACGACAACATGGCCTTAAGAGTCGTACTTTTTCCACTCTCGGTGCTACACACGCTCTTCGCCTTCTCATCTTTTTCCTTCGTGGACTTCAAAATCTGACCACAACTGGTTTTTTTTTTTCCCTGCTTCTCATTCACACACACGGACCCATCGAGAGCAATCAAGATCCTGAACATCATTCTTTTGCAGTTCCACCTGACGAAACGGCTGCGGGAAATTCAAAACGCGATGGTACGGGCTATATGCAAGCAGCCTTCTTTTTTCAAAAAGAAGAAAAAAGAGGAAGTTCGGCCCTTGCTCTCAGCTACCAACCATCAGCTTGCCTAAATTTGAAAAAAAAAAACTTCTAGGCTGGTCAATTAATCAATCAAAACCTCTCGGTAAGTTAGGTATAGCGCTCGCTCCTTGAATTTGATCTTTTTTCTTCTCTTTGTTAGCATTAGCAGGTTTTTTTTTTGCTTTTAAAAAACGAGCCAGGCAAAAGGGCACGGGCACTTGAACACCTTTTAAAACCTCGCACAAATCTTTTTTTTATTTTCTTCTTTTTCGTTCTATCGAGGAAAATTCCTTCCTTCCTTCCTATGTATATCATCAAGACTTTTTCAATTTTCAATTTTCATGCCAGCAATTGAAGGGATTCTCTGGGGGAAAAGCTTCAATAATACTTCTCTTACATACCGAACCAGAAGAAAGAGGCACTCACTTGATGCTTCCTTCCTTTGCGAAGAGTCGTGCCATATTCAATAAATTTTTTTTTCGATGCGGCTGGCTGGCGTGGCGACCGTTCAAGTTCTCTTGCTCGATGATATTTGCACGCCCTGACGGAAGTTACGCCAGAAGTCTCGACTTGCGTGCGGAACTTTTCAAATTGAGCGTTTTTTTTTGAAGAAGTGGACGGGAAGCTGAGATGAAGAAAAGGCACAGGCGGTCATCGAATTTGACATGGTGAATACCTTTACAGTATTCGAGTATCCATCCACATGAATGATTTTTATCTTGATCATGACCGAATTCCACAAAGCTGTTCACATTCCTCTCTCTCTCTCTCCCCCCTTCTCTCCCGATTACCTTATACATAAACCCCCCTCTCCCTCAACTTCCCAAAATACAACTGCTTCGCCCCATCCACAACCTCTTTAACCTTTTCTGGATCCAATTTCGGCCTTCGATCATAAGAATACAGTCCATTCATCTCTTGTTCAATATCTGTGAATTGAGTCCAAACGATTGCACACACGTGGCCTTGCCTGACAGTATTCAGAATCAAATTCTCCACGCGTTGGAGCAAATCTTGAGAGTCTTTGGCCGTGGTGTAGCCCCAGTTTCCTTTACGAGTTTCGTCGTTGGAGGCTGCGATGTTGACGCCGCCGAATTCTGTGCACATGATTGGAGCGCCGCGGGCGTGGGTGGAGCCTGGGTCCGAGGAGTGGTGGGAGTGGATTGGGGGAAGGAACATGGTTCTCCCTCGCGTGAGGATTTCTTGGAGAGATTTGCAGCGGTCGCGCATGCCGTTTGCGTCGGCGTAGTCGTGGAAAGAGGATATGTCGGTGATGACGTGTTCCCAGCCGCAGTTATCGTTGATGGGGCGGGTTGTGTCGTAGGTTTTGGTGGTGTAGTAGAGAGAGCGGATGTGGTCTCGTTGACGAGCTTGGTGGGTGAGATCTGGGTAGCCCCAGCTTTCGTTTACGGGGGTCCAGGTGATGATTGATGGGTGGTTTATGTCTCGACGGATCATCTCCATCCATTCTTCGTCGAAGCGACGGATCATTTCGACGCTGAAGTGGTAGCAGCTTGCCATTTCGCCCCAGACTAGGAAGCCGAGACGATCGGCCCAGTACATGAAAATTGGATCTTCGACTTTTTGGTGCTTGCGGCAGCCGTTTATGCCCATGGCTTTAGAGAGCTCGATGTCCAGTTTGAGGGCGTTGGGGGATGGTGGAGTCATGAGAGTGTCTGGCCAGTAGCCTTGGTCGAGGAAGAGTGCTTGGAAGTAAGGCTTGCCATTTAGACGGAAGGTGCCGTCTCCGGTTGACCAGTTGATGGATCGCATACCAGTGGTTGTTCGTACTTCGTCTAGGAGTCGTCCAGAAGGATCAAGGAGGCGTAAGGTCAAGTCGTATAGGAAGGGGCATTCTGGAGACCAGAGTGCTACACCATTACGCCAGCATCGAGGATCGTCTCGAGGCGTGTTGTTGAGGAATTCACGTGGCAGTCGCTCGAAGTGATTTGAAGATAGTCGCATGTTGACCTCAAAAAAGCGAACGAAGTCTTCGTCTCGCGGTAGGTCTTTGCGTTCAGTGCCAACAACCACGCCTCCGATGCTAGTCTGCACCTCAATGGCCAATGGCTGACCAACACGCCTGCCGGAAGTAGCTATCCGAGCATCGATAATCCCCGTCTCGATATCTGTCGACTTGATGATGGTACCATAGCTTCCATCGACAAGCCTAGCCTGAGGCACACTCTCAAGCCAGACAGACTGCCAGATCCCGCTAGAAGGCGTGTAAAAGATACTTTCCGGCTGCGGACCCCAGTACTGCTTGCCACGGGGCTGCGTCAAATCATAGGCTGAATCGAACACGCGTATCGTCAACCGACATGCACTTTGTGCCAAGTGAATTGCCTCTGTAAGGTCCAAGTCGAACGGTACGTGGCCGCCTTGATGCTCTCCGACGTACTGTCCATCGAGCCAGACTTTGGCGTGGTAATCGACCGCGCCGAATCTCAGAAGTAGACGGAAACCCTCGGCCTTCTCTTCGGGGATCCGGAGATCTTCGATGCGACGTTCGTACCACAGGACTTGATGAACGCTTCTCTCGTTGATGCCTGATGCTGGAGCTTGGAAGACGAACGGGACTTGGATTGTCCTCTTCGCGTTGGGCTTGCCCTGTGAAGAGGCTGCATGGGTTGGTAGGGCTTGTCGATGCCTGAAGCATGTGAGAATGTTTCACATGCTGTGTTGCGTTCACGCCTACTCACCAGCCTCGAGCCTGACCGATATCGTCGTCGTCAAATAGAAAGTCCCATGGACCATTGAGGCTTTCCCAGTGAAGAGCTGATCTCACAAAATCCGGACGCGGGTAGTCTGCCGGCGGTGAAGCCATTGGGATTGGTGCACTTGGTCGAATGGGTACTGGGGGAGGATGGAGTGGTTGTTGGGGGTAGGTAGGATGGCTTGGACCTTGCGTCGAATGCCTCACGTCTTTGACCAGCTTCGACAAGCCTTGACGCATGTTGACGGACGTTTAGGTGCATCGGCCATTTAGATTGCGTTTGGTAAGTTGCGAGCCACGTCAAAGGATTGATCGATGCAGGATCGAAGCTTGATGGGAAGCTGCAGTCATTGTGGCCTGAGGCATGAACTTTGTGGGATCAACCTTACCTTCATATCGAAATTGTCAATCTGCAATTCATACGCTGTGAATACACACGCATACGATGTTTGCAGTAAAAGGCTGGAACGTCGATGCGAGCGCGCTGAAGCCTCAGACGGAGGTCTTCAAGAAGCTCACCGCGCCGACTGACGACGGCGAGCGAAAGGCAAGTCGAAAACGCAAGCGAGAAGAGGCAGAAAGCGTGAAGGAGAGCGCGGAGAAAGACAAGATCGGACAGCTATGGGAAGAGCATGTCGAGGGCAAGCCGCAAAAGTCGAAAAAGGAGCTGAAGAAGGAGCGAAAGCGGCAGAAGCTTGCGCAAGAAGATGGCAAGCAGCAAGTTGCGCCGGTGAAGACGAAGCCTGAGGGTGCAAAGGTAGAGACGGCAGAACAGCAGACAGATGCGGGCGCGGAAAAGAAGTCGAAGAAGAACAAGAAGAAAGATGGAAAGCAAGAGCAGAATGGCGACACCATCACGCCAGATCAGAAGAAAGATAATGACGCCGTGCAAAATGCTGCCCAAGCAAAACCTCCGCCTCTGCCTGCTGGCACGACGCTCACACCCATGCAAGCAAAGATGCGTGAGAAGCTGACGTCTGCACGCTTTCGGCATCTCAACGAGACCTTGTATACCGCTCCATCCGAGAAGGCGCTGGAGCTGTTCGACAAGAACCCGGAAATGTTCGAGGACTATCATTCTGGCTTCCGGCAGCAGGTCACTGCGTGGCCAGAGAACCCGGTGGACACCTTCATCGCCACGATTCGTGCAAGAGGAAAGGTGCGATTGCAATCTCAGAAGAAGGCTTTCAAGAACAATAGGAAGCGTCCGAGCAGTGCTGCAGAGGAAGAAGAGTCTGCTCCTGGCAAGCTCGCTGCACTTCCGCGTACACATGGCACGGCAATTATAGCGGACTTGGGATGTGGCGATGCACGTCTGGCTCAGACTCTTAAAGATTCTGGTGACGTGCAGAAGCTGCAGCTCAAGGTGCTTTCATATGACCTGCATTCTCCGTCACCTCTGGTCACGAAGGCCGACATATCAAATCTACCGACTCCTGATGGCTCGGTCGATGTCGCAATATTTTGCTTGGCGCTCATGGGCACGAATTGGATATCCTTTATCGAGGAAGCATATCGGATACTGCACTGGAAAGGCGAGCTGTGGGTGTCAGAAATCAAATCACGTTTCGGCCGCGTAGGCAGAGCCGGGAAACCTGTTGAGCACCGCGTTGGTGGCAAGAGGAAGCTAGCTGCCATGAAGAAAGCGCAAGAAAAGAAAGCGCAAGAGCAGGAAGAGATCAATGAGCAAGAGACGTTGGCTGTCGCTGTTGATGGTGTCGAGACGAAGAAGCAAGAGACCGATGTCAGTGCTTTCGTCGATGTACTGCGAAGACGGGGATTTGTGCTCAAGGATGGCGAAAACAGCATTGATTTGAGCAACAAGATGTTCGTGAAGATGGAATTTGTCAAGGCAGCGCAGCCGGTAAAGGGCAAGAACAAACCTGAGGCAAGCGCCAAGGATTCTGGAGAGAAGAAGGGTGGCTTCGTCAAGAAGGAGTCTTGGAAGAAATCGAAATTTCTCGACGAGGACAACAAGGATGATGTCGCTACTGACGATGAGGCTAAGACACTGAAGCCGTGTCTGTACAAGATCAGATGAGAGATCTTTTTGGTTCGATCAGACCTCCCGTCTCTACAGTGCTGGCCATGGTGCTGTGAGACATTCGTCTTGTCTTCCGCAACTGTGGAGCAGATATCGTGTCTGCGTGGCTCTGGAACATGCGGCATCTCCAAGCTCTCAATCACCTGGACTCAGACACGTCCAAGAGCTTGGCAGCAACCAGAGTATATCAAGAGCGGCGTAGACCGACCTTGAATGCTGTACAACACAACATCTCTTCTCCTGATCGCTGGACGATCGCCGTGTTATATTTCTTCACGCCTTCCTAATTCGTAATTTCTGCTTCGTTCACGTCGCTGGCCGACGTTTTTCTTTGTGCTTCTTTTGGGGCGAAAGGAAGCTGGGGCTACTCGCAGCTACGGAATTGTTCATGGTCGTCCACCATTCCATGGGCAGCAACATGAGCCGATGCTTACACGAAGCAGAAGCAGTCATCAGCCGTGTTCAGGACAGCGAACGCGAGCACCACGGTCGAATTGCCAAGCCCAGACATACGTTCACTGTTCCGATCTCGATTCGGCAGCAGCACTGCGAACAGGACGGCTGGGTCCTCAACTTCGATCACTTCAAGGTTGAGCGAGAGAACAGATTTATCCCGAGCAGCCTTCGGAGAGCATTTCCAATATTGTCGATGATGAATGCTTATGGTGATCTCTTCGCCAGGCATTCCGACAGCCTGTCGCCAGGGATTCAGCATTAAGTGATTTCTTTGGAAGAAGGATCGATCGTTATTGGGGGGGGGGGGGGCGGATTTTGAAGTAGAGCTAGTTGACTTGGCTCAGAGTTATAGCCTGTTTGATGTCTCAACCCCTTTCTCCCTCGCCTTCTAAACATCCCTCCTATACCTCTCTCTCTCTCTCTCTCTCTCTCTCATGCGCGAACCAGATGTCTGTTAGACTGATCTCACACAACGCTTCGACCGAAGCGCCAAAGAATCCTTGCAGGACTTTGTTCGCCAATTATGTGCTTCGCTTGGTGCATAACGGCGTAGTGCAGATGGTTGCGATCGGTGCAGCCATGGAAATCAGATATGCTGGGCGGTTGCCGTTCTGTAGTAAGGCCATCCTTAAGCGAGGAACATGACTGCCGTTGCAGTATTGAGATCGTTGAGCTGCAGACCTGAAGCTTTCTCGGTAGACGGAGCCAGAGGGAATTGCGACCATCAATGTGTACATCATGACATATGATGTTTGCAAGCATTTTCACTTTGAATTACCGGTTTCTGCTCCTCGTCGGTCTGTCATGCTGCTCAGTTTGTCCCGTAAATTCCGTCTTTCGGGTCCTCTGAGGGCAGTGAATCTTTCTCTGATGTACCACCGGCGTGCTTTGCGATGAGATTGCCATCAGATTGGCCATAGCCATGTGAATGAAGCGTGGTGGTGATCAAGCCAGTGGACAATGGCCAAGTCCCAGCGGAAAGATGAAGTGCGTTCATGTTCCATGAGTTCTAGGCCACACCATGCCTGTCTCTGCACAGCCAATGGCACATTGATGGATAATGCGGTAGCTCCGACTGAAGACCGCGTGGAACTGCTCGTCTTGGCGCGATAGAGGACCAGATAAGCATGGAGGTAGGCCTGGGGTCGGGCAACGAGTCCACCGTGATGCTAGGAATTAGTCTTCGCGAACAACCTCAATGAGACACTTGCCAGTTTCCTCCAAATTATGCATATTCTTGATGCTCAGACCATTGATGTTACCAATCAATGTCTCCCACTCTCTCTTCGTTCGCTCTCTAGCCCCGAGCACCGTCATCATAATCAAGTCGAACGTCGCAGTCGCTGGTGAGCATCCAGTGTCAGGAATGACAAGTTCGTTGATCAAAAGACTAGAGTAGCCTGGTGTCATGGCATCTCTCGTGTGCGAAAGGATTTCCGTGCACTTCTCATCATTGTACTCGTGCAGAATTCGTCGCATGTAGTACGCGCGAGCGTCTTTGCGAGGTTGTGGAGTGAAGTAATCGTGCGCCTGCGAGGTGAAACGACACTTCCATTCTCGCGGGACTTGTGAAATCACTTCTGGAAGATCTTGTAGCACGAGTTCTCCAGGCATTTGTTTCCGAGCGAGGGCTGCTAGATCATGTCCCCTGCCGCCTCCAATATCAACGAGCATCACTTCATTGTCTTCGACATCCAGGTCTTCGATAGGAAAGACATCGTACCACGGCCTCCTTCCGTGAGTCACTGTGGCCGTGTATTTATTGAATGCTCTTCCAAGCGCTGGACGCTCAGCAAGATCCTTAAAAAGAGAAAGTCCATGTCCCTCCGCGTAGGCTGTATTTTCAATATCTGCAGGGTACTTGTATGCATGTGTGGCGAGAAGGTCCGGCATATGTGCAGCAGAAAAGGCGTAGGCATCACCAGCGTGTTTTAATCCCCCAGCCCATCCAACGCTGGTGCAGAGTAGGCTGCTGATCGTAGTTGCAGCATACTTGTCGACAGCAATTTCTTCGAGATCTCCATGAGCAGCCAGATATCTCAACACCGGGCGAACCAGGGTTTTGTCTGCGCCAGATCCAATTGCAAGTTCATTGACTGTTCTGCCTGCCAATCCTGCCTGCTCGATACTGCGAAGCCATCCGGCGTCAAAGGCTGTTTGAAGGCATGCAAGATGGTAAGGCGAAGTGAAGATTTCCTTGAGCCGTTCTTCTGGTTTCTGCGTCTTGCGAATGATAGATCGTGCCTTGGCGAGTATCTGAGCTTGAACTGCGGGAGTGTTGGTAAGCTCATCGCCATCGCTGGAACTGAGAGCTTCAGCACATTTCTCGGCCTGCGAGAGCAGATCTAGAAGCTCATCCATCCTGGTCTGCAGTCCGGGGAAAGATCGTGAAAGTACACGTGGGCTGTCGGTTGTCTGTTCCACTGCAACGGTAGTTGAAATTGCTATCGTGTATGCAGCAGCGCTCGCATTGTTGTTATCGGGTCTTTTTGCGCTGCCTCGGTGTGGAGTAGGTGTGAGATTGATGGATCGACGTCTCGGACCCCTCTTTCGTCGTGGTGTGTTCCTATTCCGATACTGCCTTTTTCAAAAAAAGGGTTGACCACAAGCTTAACTGCAACTTTTGCCAGCTTGTACTGTCCGTTAAGACATCTATCCGGCGAAAGCCCTGAGAACTAGATGAAAAAGACTTCTCGATACCTCTACGATCTTGTTCGAGTCGTTTAAGATATCCTAGATCGGTGAAATCGCTATTCCAGGCAGGAGAGCGATACAAGGCTGCGTTTCAGGGTCGAATTTAGCCGAAAGTCGTGATATTTGGGAGCCCGGAGCCAGAACTTTTCAAAAAGGCAGTAGTAACTAGTTACATGCTGATCGACACTGCAAAATCATGAAATTTGGAAAAACCAGCAGAGATGTTGTCGGTTAGAAGTGTGCTTTTGCATAATGGAGGGGCTTGACTAAAGATGAGCTCTTAGTTTCTCCGGTAGGATTGATTCCCTTCGAGTGCGTAAGCTGTCGGTGTACTGTTGTGATTGCCCCGGTGGTGACACGTTCACGTTCGGTGTGCCAAATAAGACATGCACCGATCATGCGCGAAGGTTTCCTCTGCATACTGACTGTCCGAGGTGAAGCCTTCAAGGTGAAGCCAGGCGGGATTGACTGAAAAACAATGCCCAATCTGGCGAAAACACCATTGCCACGAGGCCTGCTTCCGTAGAACCAGGTCGCCAGGTGACAGAAGTTGTCGAAGCCGAAGCGCAGCGTTGTCTATATTCATTTTATCAGCACCGTTTGATCGCAGCATGAATTGACCTGTCCTCCACGACTCTTGTCAAGTCGAGCAATAGCACCTGTGTTGTGAGGTCGTGCAGCGTAGATGGTGTTGATGTTTGTCGACGCATAGCAGATGTGCTCCAGCATACCATGCCTATGAATACTCGGCGTCGCGAAGATGGTCTTTTCTTTTCTTGGAGCTGCCTGGCGAGCAAGTCGCGGTATCGTTTTGTGACAGTCCAGAAAAGTCGTGAGTGTTGGTGGGTGTGTAGTTCTATTGCAGAAGCCGAAGCTCGTCACGAGGGAAGGTGCCCAGAGCGCCGCCGCACCCTGAGAACGACCACTCTGTTTCGGTCTCTTTGGCTTCCACACCTCACCGTCTTCGATCACACTTCTGCTTCAACATCCCCATCGGATGCAAACCAGCATTCTCCCTGATCACTCCATTGCGTCGTCCACGATCATCGACCCAGCGATGGCCAGAAGAGCGGAGGCCGCGTCCGGCCGCGCCGCACGGTCGCAACAACGAGAGCTGAATCCATGAGAGCAACAGCAAAACAACCATCACCTCCAACATAACCGAGACTCCGAGAGAGGCGCTCTGTCGTCCCCGCTCGTCGAGGATGCATTTGTTGTCTGAAGGATAGAGAAGTGCCTGCGGCATCAGGTACAACCATGAAATGCGCGTACAATGCACGCCAAAGGCCGGATGGCCACGCGAGCAGATACGAGCCCTGGAGCAAGAGTAGTCCACTGCGAGCCCGCGTATCGAATCTTCGCAAGACGTCCGAGACGAAATCATTACAAAATCCCAAGAAATCCGTCGCTGTATCGATCGGTGGCCGCGATGATGTTTATCTCGGAAAGAGCTGGACATTGAATGGGAATGATAACATAGCCATGAGGTCTGAGTATGGTCTTGATGTCTCATTTCATCGACACTCAAATCTCATTCCGTGCGAAACAGAAAGATGCCCAAGGGCCATCGGAAGGGCATGAAACGCTGCCGCCTTTGTGGGCGCGCTCATAATCAGAACAGATACAAGTGCGTCTTCTCAGATCGTCGAACATCACATGAATGCGAGCAGGATCTCATCGAAATCCAGAAGCAGGAGACGGCCAGCCGGTTCTTAGAGACGTACAACAGGTAGTCGTCCTTGGCACTGAGGTACGTGCTCTCTCTCTCGAGCGGTGTGACTCTCATGCTGACATGAAAGATCCAGAAGATGATCCTGAATCAGCGCAAACCTGACTGAGCGAGGATCGAAGAACTCAAGCACGCAAGAACTGGAGCATTCAAGGACCCAGGGACAGTAATTCCAGGGCCTTCGTCAGAACGTGGCCTGTACGCCCAAGAGCCTCCAAAAGAATCTATCTGGCCATTGCCTAGTGCATCATCAAGGATCGTTGGACGCATGCGCAACGTGCGAAGCAGCTGAAAGATTTGCCTCGTCTACATTGTGTCTCTGCGAAGCATGCACATGCTCCTCTGGGCGTGCTGCCCGGTTGAGATGCGACTCATTCGCTAGGTCTGCGCAGTTGAAGGGGCCGAAGCAGCAGAGCAGGACCCATATGCATCTACGGGCTGGGCTGCTGGGACGACCGTGGACCTCGTACAACATCCCTCCGAGGAGCAAGTGGGGTGCTTGGAGACCGCTCGGTCGCAATTTGGCTTGCGTCAGCCCGGCCTTGGGCCTTGGGCCTTGGACGCGGTCACGCCACACACCTCGCGAGCAACGCCAAGACACGCCGAATTCACGCGCAACAACACCACAGCGCAGAGGAGGAGGCTCGAGGCAGCAGACCGACCTGAGACACTCGTCGGCGTGCATTCTAGGAAGAGCGGTGCAGCGGATGGGTCGGCTGGGCGGGCAACCGCAGATTTGTGCGCTTTCCTGATTGGCGGCTTGTCCCTTCTGGTACATGGATCGCTTTGCCAAGGCGACAGTCAGAACGATTCTGCTCAACGAACATTCACTTGAGAGGGTCGAATACATACGCGGAGTATCGAAAGCGCTGTCACAGGCTCCTCATTCCATTTTCTCGCCGTTTCACTTCGCGGGGCCGTCGCTTTCATTGCATTCCGCCACATCGTTCACGCTCGAGCTTGAGTGACGCTTTAGCGCACGGACGCTCGACGATTTAGAACGCTGCTTCTCGTCCTCAATCCTCTCTCTCCAGTCCACCAACATCACCATCAACAACACCACCACCCCACCGCCACCGCATCACTTGCATGCGCTGCAGCTACCCACACTATCGCTCCATCCCATTCGCGAGTACTACCTGCACCCTTGCTCGGCCCTACGCGTCACGATAACAAGCACTGTCGCGTCGCAAATCTCTGCTCGCGCGACACACCCAGGCGTCGACTCGAGACAGGCAGCGAGATGGCGGACGAGACGGCCATGACTGCGCCCGTGGACGCGCCAGCGGTAAGTATCGTCGCTACATTGCCTGTGTCTAGGTCGCCGTTGCTGAGACCAGCCCAGCCCGCCGTCGCCAGTGAGCCCGAGAAGCCGACCGAGACGCCCAATACGAACGGCGAGACTGTTACGATCGGCGAGAAGGAGGAGGATAGCGAAGCCGCAGCAGAGCATGCCAAAGTAGAAGAGCCCGCCGTCCATGGCGAGAAGACGGAGCAGCCCGAGGCTTCGTCCTCTGAGCCGGCGGCTGATTCTACGCCCGCAACGAGCGGCAAGGACAAGAAGCGAAAGTCCACAGGCGGCGTGCCAGAGCACAAGAACAAGAAATTGAACAAGAAGAAGTCGATGCCGTCGCTGCATCTCGACTGCAAGCCTGGCGAGTTCTACTGGGCACGTCTCAAGGGATATCCGCCGTGGCCCGCGATCATCTGTGATGAGGAGATGCTTCCTGAGTCTCTGCTCGCCACTCGCCCTGTGAGTACGTCTCGGCCAGATGGTACTCTGCGAGATGATTTCAAGGAAGGAGGCAAGAACGCCAAGGAACGTACCTTCCCTATCATGTTTTTGGCTACGAACGAGTTGTAAGTGAAGTCGTGATCATTCTGAGTATGTGCTCGTACTAATCCTGTCGCGCGCAGCCAATGGATGGTCAACACGGCATTGACGCCTCTCGAACCCGAGGAGTGCCTCAAGCTTCCTACGACGAAGATGACCAAGGCGCTCCAAGAGGCATACCAGATCGCGTCTGAGGGCCATGACATCAACTACTTCAAGGGAATTCTCAAGCTTTGGCAAGAAGAACAGGAAGCCTTCCGAATTGAGAGCGAGCGCCTCGCCGAAGAAGCAGAACGTAAAGCTGCCGAGAAAGCTGCCAAAGCAGAAGAGGATGCTGCGCTCGCAGAAGAAGGCGAGAAGAAGGCGAAGAAGAAAGCACCTCGCAAGAGCAAGGCTGCAGACGAAGATGTCGACATGGTAGACGCAGATGCACCGAAGTCTACAAAGAAGCGCAAGAAGGAGACGGAGAGTGATGCTGATGCGCCCAAGGTGAGCATGACAAGTGAAGCAGCAATAGATCGCCGCGCTAATGACTTGCAGCCAAAGAAGACGCCAAAGGTCATGAAGCTGAACGCACCAAAGACGCCAAACAGCACAGAAGCGGCCTCGGCCAAGAAGTCGACGTCCAAGCCGAAGAAGAAGGTTGTCTCGGCACCCAAGGCTGAAGATGATGACGAGAAGCCTCAGATGACCGAGGCAGAGAGACTTGCCCAACGGGAAAAGGCTGTTCTCTACCTCCGTCACCGCCTGCAGAAAGGATTTCTCTCCCGCGACCAGGCGCCAAAGGAGGACGAAATGGCTGCCATGGCAGACTTCTTCGCTCAGCTTGAGTCATACGAGACACTGGAGCCGTCTATCATCCGACAGACAAAGATTCACAAGGTGCTCAAGGCTATTGTCAAGCTGGCCAGCGTGCCCAAGGACGACGAGTATGGCTTCAAGAAACGCAGCACTATGCTACTTGATGTCTGGAACAAGCGCATGGAGGCTGATGGAGGCGATGCTCCTCCCCCAGCTGCTGTCGAGAAGGAGAAGCCTGCTCCTGCTGCTGAGGAAAAGGCTCCGCATACTAATGGTAGCAAGGAGGCTGAGCCAGAGAAGGAGGCACAGAAGGAAGTCCTCGACGAAGCAAAGAAGGATGCCGAAGAAGGGGCAGCCAAGCCTGTGGAGAACCAGGAGATCGAGATGAAGGATGCCGAGGCATCTGAGAAGCCCGCTGAGACTGCAGAGGAGAAGAAAGCAGAGGTGGCCGCGGCGATCATCCAGCAGAATGTTGAGGCTCCCAAGACTGATGCACCGCAAGCTTCAGCAGAGAATGGCGCTGATGAGGCCGGGGACGTTGGCATGCAAACTGCTCCAGCGTAGCCAGCTGCGACTTGAGGAAACGAGCAACGGGCCGTGGAGAATGATTGACGCGCCATGATTTTGTCATGAGCGATGAGGCTATGCCGACCTGTAGACGCAGATACTGGTGGTGGTGAGAATCGGTCTGAGGCGGGACCGGCTTCTTTTGTTTGCTTGGATTTTTGGGCGGCGTAAAACGGAGCGCCGGAGCATGAGATCTAGCTTGCAGAGGTGCATTGAGGCACAAATTCGCTCGTGAAGAAAAGCTGCGCAGAAACAGCAAGACGCGATGAGATCACTATTGGGAGAAGCGTTTGGGTATATACCTATTCGGTAGCGGAATGAGAGATGGGGCATTGTTTGCAGCAATTATTCTTGCCAAGTCTGCCTTTGCGAATTCTTGTGACACCTAGGAAGGCACTTCGCCTAGATTCAACGCTCATCGATATCCGTCCAGAGTGAATGGGGATGAAGCCTCCAGACCCTGACCAGGTTCGGGCTCGCCTGTCAGGCCGGGAGGGACTTGCGCGAGGGACCTGCACTCGCGCCATCGAAGACAGCGATCACTCTATCGCAGCTATCAAGCATTCCTCATCATTTGTAGGTATCTGGCGCGGACACCTCTCTTTTCATCACTAGCATCTGCCGAGCCTCAGGTACACGGGTTGGCGAGCGCCATTGACTTCACAGCATCCTACAAGCGATCCTAAGCACACATCTCTCCTGGAGACTGCACTAAAAATGGGCGGCGGACCGGCAAAAGACACACTCCTCGCAGTTCTCCCCTTCTCCAAACCTACCTCCATCCTCCAAAACCTCAAACACCAATTCCCAGACCTAGACGTCATCTACTTCCAAACCTCCTTCAGCCAAGACGCTCAAGTCCTCGCCAAAGAGGTCCCCAAACACCTCTGGCACGATGCCACAATCCTCGTCACCCTCCGGACATTCCCCGAACCCTCGGAAGCCCCGAATCTCCAACTCATCCATCTCGTCTCCGCCGGAAGCAATCAAATCCAAAATTCGAAAATCTATACAGATACCGATATCACGATCACGACTTCTTCCGGTATCCATGGCCCGCAAATCGCGGAATGGGTGATTATGACGGGTCTTGTGAGCAGTCATGGGTATAATGAACTTTATGAATTACAGAAGAAACATCAGTGGGGGAAGTCGAAGAATGATGGACAGTACAATAGGGTGAGAGATTGGGTGGGTCGAAGGATTGGGATTTTGGGGTATGGGAGTATTGGGAGACAGGTTGGAAGGGTTGCGAATGCGTTGGGTATGGAGGTTTTGGCTTATACCGCTACGCCGAAGGATTCGGATGCGAAGAAGAGGGATGTTGGGTTTGTTGTGCCTGGGACCGGGGATGTGGAGGGGAAGATTCCAGTACAGTGGTTTTCTGGGTTGGAGAAGGAAAGTCTGCATGAGTTTTTGAGGCAGGAGATTGATTGGTTGCTTGTTTCTGTGCCTTTGACGGAACAGACGAGGGGGTTTCTTGGGAAGGAGGAGTTTGAGGTGCTGAGTGAGAAGGGGAGGAGACCGGCTTTTGTTACGAATATTGCGAGAGGTCCGATATTGAACCAGGGTGAGTTGATTGAGGCGTTGAAGGATGGGACGTTGGCTGGGGCGGCGCTTGATGTTACGGATCCTGAGCCTTTGCCGAGCGATAGTGAGCTTTGGGATTTGGAGAATGTGATTGTTACGCCGCACGTTAGTGGGAATGGGGTTGCGTATATAGAGAGGACGTTTAAGGTGTTGGAGATCAATTTGGGGCATAGAGAGAAGGGGGAACGGTTGATTAATGTTGTGAGGAGGGAACGAGGATACTAATTACATGTATCAGATGGCGATGTTGGCCTTATGTACATAACGACATCCTTCCACACATCTGTCCTATCTATCTATTGCGGCTCCTCATCCTTGAACTTCTCCATCAAAGCTTGAACATCAAACCCACAAACCTCCGCCTTCGCCACAATCCCCTTCGCCTTCCCCACAACCGGCACATCAATCATCTTCCCATCCAAAGTCCACGCCCCTCGCCCCTGAGCATCAGCTTTCCGATCACAAAGCACAACCCTAACCGCCCACTCCGTCTCCTTCTCACTCGGACTATAAACCTCCTGCACAACCCCCACCTGATCCGGATGAATACACTGTTTCCCATTAAACCCAAACCTCTTCCCATTCTCACACTCCTCCCTCAACTGCCTCCTCCCTTCCTCCCCCCGAAACGTCGTCGACACGAGATCCAACGCCGAAGGCAAACTATGCGCCCTCGCCGCCGTCACGATCGCCGAGCGCGCATACATGAATTCATGCAAACTCGGCGTGCGCGTGAGCGAGAGGTCCATGGCGAAATCTTCGGCCGCGAAGGTGAGCCCGGAGAGGAATGGGGAAGCTTTACAAATCGTATCGAGATCCATCACACTCCTCGCACTTTCCACCAACGCGATTATTTTGATTGGATTTTGGGATTCGGGGCCGTGGCGTGAGGGGAGGATTTGTTTCAGGACGTCTGTGACGAAGTGCAGATCTTTGGGGGCATCGACTTTGGGGACGACGATGCAGTCGAGATTTTTTCCCGGCAGGATTGCGGTCAGGTCGTCGAGGGCGTAGCCGGAGTCTACGGCGTTGATGCGCACGGCTTGTTCCCGGATTCCTGGGGCTCGGGCGCGGTTGAGGATTTCTAGGATGTTGGTGCGGCTGGAGGGTTTTTGGCTGGGTGTTACCGAGTCTTCTAGGTCGTAGCAGATTGAGTCTATTGCTGGGATGGAGCGGGATTTTTCGAGGAAGCGCGTGGAGGAGCCGGGGACTGGCGATGTGGGTTAGTAGAGTCTTGATTGGTTTTTTGTTCTCGTAGTTTTGGGGTTTTTTTTTTTTGTTTTCTGCTTTCATTGATATGGATGGAGACATATACATACCATATAGCTGTGCTCGCCGGATGGCTTGCTTCGCTGCTGCCGACGCTGCCATGCTTGTTGATATTGTTTTTCACTTCGCTCCAATTGATATCGTGGGTTCTCTCGAGATTGAGAAATTGGGATTGTAGTGTCTTCTTAGATCAGTGCAAGTAAGAGTTGATGTTGTTCACTCCGTCATCGCCCCGGGAATAAGCTTCTCCACCAGCCGCGGATATGGGGAAGGGGAAGGCTGGGGTCGCCAAGACTTTCAGGAGTTCCTTCCGTAACGTGCCTCCAACAAGTTCCTCCACTCTCGAGCAATAAGATTGTTTTTATTTCAATGGCTAATTATATAGCGATCAGTTACCAACCGCCAACCTTTCATCAACCATCACAGAGGAGTTACCCGCGAGTTCCTCCACTCTCCCTCAGGTGATTACTCACTCACTCGCATGCCTTCTATGTCCATAACGATCTATACTTCCCGGGCGGAAAACTATTGGTTGCTACTACGATGCCTCTCGATGAGTTCTCGACCGCGAGGCTTGCGGCTCCCATGGCGTACCATCAATGTGCTTCTCCCATTGGATAGAACAGCATTCGCAAAGCTCGGAGGCTCTTCCTCAGGGTATAATAATATGGCCGGAACTCTGAAAGAGGTTGTAGAAATCCAGGGTCTATGGTCAGGGTCTGCTATACCACCTGCCAATCAATACTACCTTTCAAGTTTCCTTTCCATACTGCACGTGGATATTAGCCCCGATCGATATGGCGCAAGGTACTGAAACGGCTATTATCACATACCGAGATCACGCTATACCCCCTGGCCATACCACACCGCTGGATCCACGTGTTTGTTTTGCTCCTGCCTACGGATACAGCACATACACCTGCCTACGGAATACCGCATACGTCTAGCAAGCAAGGGTCTGCGTGGAGACAGCCCCAAGGTAGCTTCACGTGGCTCCGAAAAGGCCCAATATGGCTGCATGCAGCAAGAAAGAGCGAGCACAATCACGACATGAGCTTACGGCCGAACAATCACGTCTGGAGTCACTGCAACTCCACGGCGAGGAGGTTTGCGCTGCTGTATCATGTTATGTGTCACATAACATACTCTTTGAGGCTTTAGCACCGAAGCACGAGCAGGATTATAGGCCTGCACATCTCAAGCACGCCTCGACGGGATGCTGATGACATATAGATCATGTCACATAAAATACTCTCTGAGGCTTTAACACTGATTAGTAAAGCACGAGCAGGATTATAGGCCTGCACATCTCAAGCTCGCCTCGACGTAATGCTGACATATAGATCTAGGAACTAGGAAACCACATACGATGGTTTCGGAAAGCAAGCAGTGCCGACGAACAGCATGTCTCAGTCCACAAATCGGCCTCGAAGAAGTTGTTACCGGGTGTTCCGAAGCGTGCCTCCTCTTGGTAAGTATAAGCCAAAAGTATCGCATCTACACCCTCCTTCAAGAACCGAATGCTAGCGTCCGCCGCCCGAGTGGTAGATTGTAACTCATCAATACAGGCATAATCTGCTTCCCCTATTGGATGCTATCAGATGAAACAGCAGTCCCAAGGCTCGGAAGCTCTTCTACTGCGTGTCTCGGAGGCTCGATAGCACCGAAACCTAGAAAGAGGGCGTATAATACAGTGTAGTAGCTGCGTTTGCGCAGTATCTACGATATACACTACACGGGTTGGTAGGCGGGATTAGCGGCCGCGTGGAAGGTAAGTAAAGGTATAAGAGTTCTACCTGCCTCCGGAAGAGCGGTTATGCAGGCCGTATATAGACATGCACTGTCCTTTTCTGGATGCAATGCACGCAGGTGCGCGACGAGAGGAAATCTAGGCTACCCGTATATGACATAGTATTATGCAATGTGCTAGTGAGTCGCTATGCAAGCAATCTAAGAATTAGCGGATCGCGATCTGTTTTTACCAGGGACATACTGTCTATCCACGCAAGCTGGGCGGTGCGGTGTTGCAAACTTCAGGCCCCTAGCAGTGATGTCCAAACCTTAGCAATTGCCAAAACAGCAATTGCTACAGGGACAGAGTAATTTCCAAAAGTAATTGCTGTGGTAACAGCAATTACTATTACTACGAGATTTGAGAAATGGCAATATAGATAAGAATTACTAAATAGTAATTACTATATTATTATTATATTGCTAATTTTTATTAATAGAAAAATTCTATTAGGATAAGAGATTCTTAGTAGCTTTTTATAGATAATAGTATAGTGCTATTATATATGTTTTTTTAAAGATTATATAATATATCTATAAAAATAAAGTATAGTACTATTTTTTTAAAGTAGCTACGTCCGTATAGAACGCTAACTAGCGGCCCGTTAATTACTAAACTAATTCTAGCTAATATTTAGTTAGGTACCCCTTATCCCGAATAACGGCTTTATAGCGCTTACGTATAGAATCTATTATATTTTTAAGTACGTAGTCCGGTAGCTCCTACTATAACTACTCTATCTCCCGATCTAGCTTCGCGACCGTTTCTATCTAGTATATACGCCGAACTTGAAGCCTATTTTTAATCTACGCCTAAATATACTCGATCGGATTCAAATCCGGCGAATTAGAAGGCAGCGCTAAGAACTAGCTAATCCCCTACGGTACACACTCGCTAGGGCTAAAGAGGCTATACGTAATTAGCATACAACTAGGCCGAGTAAAGCTAGGGTCTTAATGCCTTAGGCAGGGCTTAGCGCTTAGCGTTAGGCCAACTCTCCTACCTTCCTCCCTCTCCTCCGAGATCTCTATCGAACACTATACTGATTTACTACTACCCTATCTACCTACTAATATAACCCTTCTTATATAGTATTCGATCTACCCTTTAAGGGCAGTAGCTAGATAGTCCTTATTTCAAGCTTTTAGCGGTATAGCTACGAAAACTATCGATTTAACTATATTACGCCTAAAGAACGGGACCTATACGTACTATTCTATCGAAACAACCGTACTAATTATTAAGCAAGGCCTCCTATACGGCCTATTATACTAAGTTAAGCATACTAGGCCGATATCTACTAATTCCGCTATATCCGTATCTTAGGGGCTAATAATATATTATTAGTGCCGCCCCTTATAATAGCCGGTTTATTACGAAACAACAATCGCGGCGCTGCTAGCAGCGCTAGCAATAACAATACTAGTAGTATAGTGCCTACCGAAGTACCTACTAAAGTGCCTACTAAAGTACCTACTAAAGAACCTACTACTAGGCCTGCCGAAGAACCTATAGTTCTAGGCGACGACCTAGAGTTGCCTATTAACGATATACTTAACAATATTGTTAATCGACGATATAGCTAGCTAGCCTTTAGCCCCTAGCTAGTAGCGAGACTTTAAGAAGCTACTTAAAACAGGCTTACTGCCCTACGTTAAGAACAATAGCTAAAGGATAATCTCCTCGAGATTCGCCGCCTATAGGAAGCCCTAATAACTAACACTAAGCCGACAGTAGGGCCTTCCTTACTATTAGTCCTAGTCTAGAAGAAGGATACTAAACTTAAGGACTATACTGTATTTAACGGCTCTAGTCGAAAGCAATATAACGACTACATCCGTAACTACGAGCTTAATTAGCGAAACGCGCTAAGGGCCCTTCTAGACGACTACTCGTTAGTCGTCTATGCTATGCAATATATTAATAGAGACCTAAAGCGCACCTAGGATAACCATTTCGACTCCCTTACTAATCAGACCGCTATTTAGTAGCAGACCTACAAAACTATTATACTAGACACCCTTAGGAACCCTATACTAAGGCAATAACACGCTTAGGACTAGTACCTTCGGGCTAAACAAAAGACTAATTAATCGGCTCGTTTATTTAAGGCCTATTTAAAGACCCTCGAGGACGATCTCCCGGCTAAGACTAATTCTATACAGATCTCTAAGATACGCCTAAAACTTAGGTAGGAGCTTATCCTTAAATTGGACCGCCGCCGTGTGTTCGAATAGGCTAACCTAATACGCATTTAATTTATAGTCGAGGTAGAAATAGCTAAACGAGCTATCTAGCTCTAGCAACGACTAGAATTAAGGATCCGACCCGCTAGCAACCGTAGCAACCGTAGCCGCGGAGGAAATTAAAGTTCCTACTAAGACAACAATGCTAACAATAGGAATAGTAACAACGACCGTAGAAGAAGCCGTAGCCGGCGGCTATATAGAGGAGGCCGTAATAAAGGCCGTAGAAGGGGCTCGTATCCCTATAGTACTAATCGCTTAGCTAACAATAGCGGCAATAGCTATAGCAATCCCCTAACCGGACTAAAGTGCTTTAATTGTAATAGCACTAGCTATCTACTAGGCTAATGCGACAAACCTAAGGACTAGGCCCGAATCGACCGTACTACTACTAAGCACCGAAAGCACCTTTTAGTAGCTAACGCTACCCCTATAGGCTAACCTTCGAAAAAAGAGTAAGCGCTGCACTAACTGTTAGCCTTGTGCGGCGTAAGACTATCGACATTGTGCTAGCTATTATACGTACCTGTCTCGTATCGGACACGTATAGGACTAACTATAAGACTAAGGTTATACTAGATCTAGGAAATTCAGTTAGTACCCTTATTAGCTATCGCCTAGCTAAGCAATTAGACCTTCGACAACTGCCTAGGACTAACCTGCTAACCCTTGCTTAGTTTAATAACGCTCGGCACTTAACCTACGGAGCCTACTATATCTATATAGCCCTAAGAGACGACCTCGGCAATAAGCGCCTACTAAACTTTACTGCCTACGCAGTAGATATAGATAGCCTCCTATCTAATATTGTTATTAGCAACCCTGTTCTTAAGTACTATGCTATAGTTATAGACTTAGGCAGTCAATAGTAGCGATTTAGGATCGCTAGGAAAGAGGACATTAAATATATTAATATTAGCGAGTGCCCTAATAATATTAGGGTCCTATTTATTAGCAACCTAACCCTAGCTAATCCGACGGCCGACCTACTCGGTAGTAATAACGATAAACCTGTGCCCCCTAATAGCATAGATCCTAAACAACTTAAGCGTATACTAGAACCTATTCGAGAGACCTATATTAATGTGTTTAAACACTACTTGGCATCGATATTGCCTATGTTCAAAGAGACGGATTATAAGATTAATATTATAGAGGGCAAGGAGGTTCCTTTTAGCCCCCTCTACAACCTTAGTAAACGAGAGCTTACTATATTGCGTAAGTACCTAGAGGAAAACCTAGCTAATAGTCGAATTCGGTATAGTAATAGCCCTGCTAGTGCACCTATCCTGTTCGTACTAAAGAAAGATAGTAGCCTACGTCTATATGTCGACTATCGTAGGCTTAATACTGTTACTATTAAAGACCGCTGTCTACTTCCTCTTATTAATAAGACCCTCGATCGCCTTTTAGGTACCTACTACTATACTATACTAGACATTAAGGATGCGTACTATCGTATCTATATTCGTAAGGGCGACGAATGGAAAACAGCCTTCTATACTCGCTATAGCTATTTCGAATACTTAGTTATACTATTCGGCTTAGCTAATACCCCTATAATATTCTAGTCCTATATCAATCGGGCCCTATTAGGCCTATTAGACTACCTCTGTATAGTTTACCTAGACGATATCCTAGTTTATACCTATTTACCTAATATCGTAGAGCACTAGGCCGTAGTACGTAAGGTGCTCGACCGCCTACGGGCTTATAGCCTATATTACAAGCCTTCTAAATGCACCTTTGCTACTAAAGAGGTATCCTTCCTTAGCTTCCTCGTATTAACCGAGGGTGTTAAGGCTAATCCTAATCGGATTAAGACTATTACTAAGTAGCTAACCCCTACTAGTATTAAAGAGCTTTAATTATTCCTCGGCTTCGCTAATTTCTATCGTCGCTTTATTAAGGGCTATTTACGGCATATAATGCCCCTAACTGAGCTTACTAAAACCAAGGCCAACCTAACTAGAGAGTTTAAATAGACTAACAGAGCACAAGCCGCTTTTAACGGTTTAAAGAAGCGATTCACTAAAGTCCCTTTATTATACTATTTTATACTAAGCAAGCAGATCCGAATTAAGACTGACGCTTTACAGTTCGCTATATTAGCTATAATGTCTTAGTAGTTAGACAGTAACTACTACTAGCACCTAATTGCCTTCTTCTCGAGAAAGATAATTAATGCTAAGCGTCGCTACGAGACCTACGAGCATAAGCTCTTAGCTATTATCGAGGCCTTTAAGTATTAGAGGCATTACCTCGATAGGGCCTAACATACGATATAGGTCTATATAGACTATAACAACCTCCGTAGCATTACTAAGGTTACTAGAGTTATAGGTCGATAGGCTAGATAGGCCGTCTACCTCGCTAGGTTTGATTTTAATATATTACATCGGCTAGGCATAAGTAACCCTACTAATAGCCTATCGAGGCGACCTAATTACGATAGCGGGACTTAGTAATCTATTAATTTATTGTTTCTAACCCTATAGCATAAGATTGCTATAGCCCGTATTGTTAATAAGCAAGCGTAGAATAAGCGGCTTACCGGACTCTGCGACGGCTTAAAGCATATTAATGCTCTTGCTATATTAATAGTGCGTATTAAGGACACAGATAGGAGAAGTTATAATAACTCCCTAGTCGACATCGCTATATACAGTAATAGCGATAGCACTACTGCAGTTAATCCGGCTACTAGTACTATTAGATATATATAATGTATACCTCGTTTAATAGCGAGGGTGCTATTAAATAACCTTGCAAATAGGGATAGTCAATCGTTTATAGATAAGCTATTATATACTTAGCAGAGGGACGCCTTTGCTACTAAATGTATAGACAAGCTTATAAGTAGGCGAAAGACTCGATCTAGTAAGAGTAACAATTAGTCGATCGATAACAAAGGTTATTTGAAGTTTAAGGGCAGATACTATATCCCCGCTAAACATTCGATCTAATAAGAACTTCTTAAGCGATACTATAATAGTAAGCTTACCGGTTACTATAGTATAGAGAGGTCGCACGAGCTACTATCGCGTACATACTACTAGCCAAATAGTAAGCGGGATA